AGGTGCTCTGTCTGGGCCTTTAGTGGGTAGGAAATATAAAATATTGATCTGAACTAAACTGAACTGAAAAGGCTCTAGCAAACCAAAATTGGGGGGCAGTGGGTGGGAGGAAAAAGAAGGGGAGGAGAAGGGGAAACCTGCTTTTAGTGTGGGTGCAGTAGAAGGAGAAAATAAAGGGCAGAATGGTTAACATCTTAGCAGTATGGCCAAAGGACCAAGAAAACTTGAAAAACTAAAAGTGAACAACCTTTCCAAGCAGATAGCTGTTTGCAGGCTTGCTGTGTATGGATCAATTGTCACATGAGAAATAGAGAAAGCAAATATTAGAGCTTTTTACTGATCTTAGATTATTTGGATATTTTTGTCTTGACAGGATTTTTTAATGATGTGTGGCCATAATAAGTACAAGACTGACATGCAAATGTCATGGAAAACAAAGTTCTTTTGACTTGCATGGCTTGTTAAAGTGTGGTCAGATATTAGCCATTCAGAAACAGACTGCTACCAGAGCTGGGCTGGCAAACTGACGTATCTGTGATAATTCCTAGAGCCAGCCAGCTGCTCATATTCAGGTGTGTAAAGAAAATAACATTGGTGGCAATTTGAGTTCAAGGGAGAAAGAATAAAGAAGGATTTCTACTTCTCTAATCTGTCCATTGTCCTTTAATCCCTTTATCTATACCCATCCATCTAATGTCAGGATTTGAAGATAATATTTGTTTGCTCACAAATGTAACATGAATTCTAAATACGGAGTTTTATTGCATCCCTAACAAACTCATTGTATTATTCCCAGAAACTTCACAGATAAAAATGTAAAAACTATGATAGCAATCTATCTGTTGCTCCTGAAATTTATTCATTCTGTTTCTTCCAACTATAGATAACACCTGTCTACTCTGAAAATTACATATGCATCTTTAACATATGCATCTGTTTCAACTCAATTAAAAAAATAAAAAAGAAATGCAGGGTTATCCTGAGGTAATTTTCTTATATTAAGCTATTTAAAAGAATTTAGCATCAATTTAGCATCAAGCAAGAAGAAATAAAAATCTTTTAGTGTTTTATTAAATATATATATTTATTTCACAGTTGATTAGTACTATATTATATTAGTCTTTGGACTGAAATCATCCCTACATGATGTGCTGGCTCAGTGTTACTATTCTGAAGTGTAATATTGAGCATATGGGAAATCGTGTCGTGTTCAAAACCTGTTGTTTTTTTTTTACAGTAGTTTAGTTGAGTGTTTCTTTGCTTTCATAAAGAGTAACCATGACTGCAGTTTATATCCTTAATCTCTTATTAGTGATTTTGGAGCAGAGCTAACCTAACAATTGACTGGGCTACAGCCAAATAGAGGAGAGAGTTGAGGAGAGAAGGTAAAAATGAGGAAAATATCACCTGGTCCATTTGGTGACTTTTTTTCCCTCAAAAGACAAAATTCAGGAGTTTCAAAAGTCATAGTCACTCAAGGTGCTTTGATTCCTGAAATCTGATGTATGAAGTAGCAAGAAAGTAACAGTTCCTCTCTGTAGGCATCAGGCAGCAGCTATTGCGATTCCGCATCCATTCTCGCTGTCAGGAAGACGGTGTCACTCCCTGCTGTGGATTGCAGGGCAGACTCATGTTCTTTTGCTAAGGATGATTATACAACAACACGATTAAAATTTGATAGGAGTGAAAGTGATTAATGAAGTAGCCTATGGATACTTGCAGAATGCAAGAATAAATGAAGAAAACTGCTGTAATAGAATCAGGCATCACCAAAAGCTATCAGATTAAAATAATAAAAACATTATACAGGCCTTGTGAGTTAGTGATATATATAGTTGCTGAGAGAGTATTTCAGTTATTAGGGGATAGTGAATCCACACATTTGGCTATTAAAAATATATCTACTGATTAACATATAATATTAATAACTTCATCATCTAGCTGTGATAATAATCCCACAAAGAAATAAAAACCAGAAAACTATTTTATTACAGAAGACTTCACATTAAGTAATTGATTTTCACCGAACTCCTGAAAGATACTAGAATATGTATAATTATTTCTAGTTTACAGAGCAAGCAGCAGGGACTATAAATTCTCAGACCTGAAGAAGTTACTAGCGAGAGTTTTCCAAGACCAAAAAAAAACCTGAGGTCAGATTTCTTTTATTTGTTCCTCTTTTCTAACTCCTAGAGAGCAGTTCTCTCTTGTAATTTACTTCAGACTTACTCAGACTCTTCACACTACTAATGTAATCTGATAAATTTTTAATAAAGCACTCAAATAGTTTGCTTTCTACATTTAAAAAGCATCTGACTGTTATGCATGTGATGGCACAATGTTAAATCAGTAACACTTCACAGAAGATCCTTGATAATAGGATCTTGCCTCACAGAGCTTAACATTTTTATTAGTGTTTATAGTTTTGGTTTGAGGTATTTCATGTAACATTTCCCTGAGCAACTGTTAGGAGAGCTTTAAACGTTTAACATGTGTGGCTGTGCACAGTAATAAAACACATGATTTTACCATTACTATCTGTATGTCATTTTTTTAGTCATTTCTTTACTTTTGCAAAATAATTTTCATTTTGGAGAAGAACCTTGTGGCTGACGGGCTTTCTAAGAAATCCACCAGAACAGAAGCCCTACCTGGATGGGTGTCGATGTGGAAAAAACGTTTAATCTTTTTTTTTTTTTTTTTTTGTACAAGGGATAGCGGGTCCAGGGTGGGGGCAGAGGGGAAGCCCCCAGTGAACTTCTACATGGATGTTTCCTCCAACACAAATAGTTCTTCAAATCTGACCATTTTGCAGACTGAACTTTGTGTACAACAGAGGCTTCTGCAGATGTCAGGAGCCCCTGTTGTACACAAACTGTCAGGAGGGTTTAGTTTATGTGTCTAACAGAGATGAACAGAAGAATGCTAAGGGGTTTAAACTTAGTGCTCTCTGTTGAAACTTCCATGATGTTCTTTGCATCAACATAGCTGTCTTTTTTTTAGCTGCTATCCTGTATATTACTCTTTCCATAAAAGACAGATCACTTAACTCTGTCTTTTCTTTTCTGCACCATTTGCTAACTTTAAAATCATTTAACCTTCCTGGCCTCTTCAGAGAATATGCTATACACAATAACACATGCTTTTTACCTCTCGGTAATGTCTCTTATGTAATGAAGATATCTCAATCCACATTTTAGGGCCATGCATGGACACAGTTCACCTTTCACTCAGGGACAGGCTGACAGGCTGCCTTCAGAAGGTGACAAATGTACCTAGAAACTTTTTTCTTTTATTAACCTATGGCAACCCAAGTACAAGTGCCAGCTCCTGAATTAGCTTATCAACACAGACATGGTGATTCATAAATGACTGTGCGAGAATGTCTTTAAAAACTTTTAAAACTTCATTTGTGATTGACTGTAAAGATTTTTTGATCATAAAAACAGAGAGAAGACTTTTCAGATTTTTATTCACCTAGCAAAGTTTTTTTTGAAAGGAAATTTAGTGCGTTACCTACTCAAAACTTGCTGCGTGCTTTGCCTAAATATCCCTCAGGTTCCCTGTTTAAAGGACAAAGAATCTGAGGTGGACAGAGGAAATTATTCCCTGGGATCACAAAAGAAGCTCTTGATCCTTCAAATAGGGCAAATGTCTGTCCATTTTCCAACTAGTTCGCTGTCTTTACATGTTGATTTCTGTAAGAAATAGAGCACAAGTGAAGACTGAACAACATGTGGTCAATCTATAGCAGATATTTGTCCAAAGTGGCCTTTTCTTTGCATTTAAAAGGCAGTTTGCTTTCAACAAGGTGACTCATGCTGGCATGTTTTTGCTTATGTAGAATATAGTTGACTTTAGATGAGAAAGAGTTCAAGTTTGGGGGGTTTTATTACTATTGTTATGTTTTTATTCTTCTAACCATCATGCAAAATTAGCAGCAGTTCTGACCTACACCGAAGGAGAGTCCCATTCTCAGTCATGACAATTCTTGTTAGTCCAGTGTTGTATTTCTGAAAAATGAAAGCCTTTTGCAAAGCAGAAAACAAAAATAAATAAAAAGAAGAAGAAGCACGCAAACTGTTAGACTCATAACTACTAACTGTTGGTTTTCAAGGAGAAGTTTCCTGACAGGTGAAACAAAGCAGAGAACTGAGTTTCTCTATCAAACTTTATATATTGGAATTTGTATGACAAGACTGTGGCAAAATGTATGACCATCTTCATTTGTGGAAAACTAGTCCACTCAATAAATGCAGAAGAAAAATTAAGATGCTGGCTGTGAATTAAATTTCTGTGTATCTGAATTGCTTGTGTATATAAAACACTAGAAATGTTGTAGTCAAAATACAGAGTAGAGGGGGTAGCTCTAATTCTTTTTCAGTATCTGCATTCCAGTGTCTCCTTCTTTCACTTTCTGTAATACTTTTCTCGTTTATCAACTCTGTCAATGTTTTTCCTGGTAGAAGAGACTTTTCAAGCAGTAGATGTTTTCATGTGAAAAATTTACCTTAGGATGTACTAATTTCAAGCAGCCACAGTTAGGGTCCCTGTAAGAGTCCTTATTCTCTTCGGAACAGGAATCACATTACATGCTAGGCTTTTGAAAAGCAACAACGCTACTGCCAAAGTGTCTCTGCCTGTAGATACTTCTCACATATCGCGTAGCCTTTTCGCTGTCAAATTCCATTGGAGTGCAAATAGTTCTGTCCCTGCTAGCCTGATGTCATTGAGCCGAGTGCATTTAGGATGTTCATCTCTGTATTCCCTTCATTTGGAAACAGATATATAAAAAAAGAATCCAAGGTGTTATTCTTCCTAAATATGCCTTTTTCCTCCGTTTGAGACAAATATATTAGAGCAGTTTTTATTTTACTTAAGCTGGAGTTACCAAACTAGGCTGTATGCCTGAGCAGACTGGATGGGAAACCTTTGCAACTGATATTGTCCTCAAGCAGCTGATCATCAGAGCATTTCCTCCCCATTCCTATACCAGCAAAATGATGACATCCAGCAGGCAGAACTATTCTACACCTATGGTCAACAACTTGGCCAAAAAAGTAGATCGAAATGCTTTACAAAGCCACGGGCCATGGGATAATGAAGTGGAATCCCCCCAAATTCTTCATGTTGCAAGCAATAATGCCAGCACATCTGAAAGTTTTAACATCATGGATATGAAGTTTGCCTCCCTTGAACAGAAATTAGATAAGGTGTTGACTCTGCAAGACAGCGTTCTTAAGAAGCTCAACAGTGTTTCTCAAAAAATCTGTTGCGTTGAACAAGACGTTGAGATTGTAAAGGCAGAAGCTTCTGAATCTGGATCCAAGATGGAACGACCTAAAAATCTGAGAAGTGATGAAATGAAGAGACTTTGCCTTAAAATGAAAAAATTCCTTTCTGCTATGAACAGGAATGCAGAGCGGCAAGTTAAAAGACTAGACAGACTGGAAGAAAATGTTACTGGATTGCAGAAGCTTGTAGGACCTTTGGTTGAGAAGGTTAAAACATTAGTAATTCATCATTTAAGTGTAAAACACCATGCTCAAAAACGTAAGTTTTGCAAAGCAGGTGATTATACAAAGGGAGCTGAACATCTTTTTAGGATGCAGATACTCCCGGACCCAGCAGATGATGCCCTGCTCCAGAAGAGTGAAAAGGTGAGCCTACATGTGCTTTTCCTCTAGTGCAGCACTCATGTTTATACAGTGTGCTCCAGATTTCAGTGAAACTGATAAAAAGCCTTCTAAAAAGTATATTGAACTTTAGATCATACCATAAATATGTGTCTGTGTCTGTGCTTTATTTCAAAGAACAAGTTTGCTGTTCTGTCTGGTATTTCTGCTGACATTGGTGAGGAGAAAGGGCTTCTAAACTGGGATTCTAGGTAGGATTACTGTAGCTAGAGCTGTGGTTTGTGTAAACTTCCTTGGGGAGAAAAAAATGCTCATGTCACTGTAACTGGAGTTTTATTATGCTCTTTGTAGGAAAGATTAAAAGACCACAAAAATCTCCTGAAAGGCTCCATTGATTATAATAGGCTCTTGTAAGATAGTTTAGCTATTGTGTGTTTGGCAAATAAGACCAGTAGCATTAGAAGACTTTTTTTTTTCTGACAAAGTATTTTGATGTTTAATTAACCTAAAATGAACCAAAAGGATGTATTTCACCTTATTTCTGCTTTGTTTTACATTTTTGTTTAAGGCACCAATAGGCTTCACAGTTCGCTATTTTTGGCAAGTAATTTTTGAGTATGTTGTTATTAAGATTTTGAAAAGAAAAGCATTGTGTGATGGTATAAATAGGACATGCCTTGAAAAAATATGTGCCCAATATCACTAGAATGTTCAGATCAGCTAATCAGATGCTTTTAGCTTGGTTATTCTTCATCAGCCCCACTTCTCACTAAGACAAAAGGTCTTAGAGCCAGCACAGGAAACTTAGAAGTTGTCTGTTCAATGAATATCAGCAGAGAACCGTCTTGTAAAGTTCTCTCAGAGGAACTGTCTGACCTGCCACTACATAAGGATATAAAATGCTGCAGCCTTTTTCCAGAGTATCAATAATTGAGTAGAAAATTGCTGCTTTGACAATAGATAGAAACAACAAAAGTGATTTTTACAGGTCCTTTTTGAAAATCAGGTTGGACTGGTCTCAGTAAAGGAATTTAATAAAAGAGAAGTTTCATTCTTTTGTACCTTTATCTTGATGGAAAAACATTAATTATTTTGAAGGTTCAAGTTTGGATCTTCTTTTTACTTTTTAAAACATCAATGTAAACCTTTGTTGTAAAAGCCCAGTATCTAGTGAGGTGCATAGGTAATGCTTTGATCACTGTAGTTGAGAGCTGTGCCCGTATCAGTGAAATCGCAAATTCATTTAAGCTATTTATAAATATGAATTGAGTTGGGCCTGGGATGTTGATGGATTGGTAGGTTGTAGAGGCTATGGAATCTCCGTAGCAGAAATATACAGTAAGAGAAAGAAGGAAACTGTAATGGATTCAGTGATTATTTTGTGGGAGCCCAGTGTGTGTAGCAGAGGGCACAGAAAACGGGGGGCAGCAGGAGAACGGGGACATGTTCTTGGCAAACTGGAGGTCACCAGTGCAACTCAGAGGTCACAGATGCCCAGGGAACAGTTAATGAAGAGCCAGGAACTGGAGGGCGAAGGGCTCAGATTTGGTAAAAACAAAGAAATTGCTACATAAGACCCAAAGAGAAGAGTTGCAAGTGGACTCTCTTTATTTCAACAGCAGCTCCATTTGTAATCCCCTCACTAACTAATTTTTATTTGGGCAGACTTTCAGTGATGTTGAGTGGAATTAGTAGGAATTAGTCTAGCGTGAGGGCATAGTAGAAGCAGCACAAGCATGCCTGGAACCACAGTGGTGATATTATCACATTGTTAATATTTTGTTTGTTTTATTAGATAACATACATATGTTAACTTGTCATTGCCTTCTTCCTTGCGTGTTTGATTTATTGTAAAAGGGCCATCATAAAATTGTCAAGCTATCCTGTGAACAGCAGCTGGCTTTAGTAAACACTTAGTCTTCCTGGCTTTAAGTAAAAACAGACTTTAATTCAGCTCTGCAATAAGAATAATGGAGCAGGGTCTGATATCCTCAGCAGAAACTGCTGAGCCTGGTTTCAGTTTAGTAGAAACCAGCATTTATCAGTGCTGAGGGCAGACAGACTCTCCTCTGCCTGGAGGGATAGAAATAGCATCTCTGAGCAAATTAGCAACAAGACTAGTCCAGGAGACTCTCTGGGGTTGGTTGCTTGTGGCCTTGCATGGTACATATTCAAAATGGGTTTACAAATGAGGATTCATATGGTTTGGGCAAAAGCAAAGAAAAGCAAAGGAAAGGAGAAATAGGGGGTTAGATTTCTTCTCATCTGTGCTGATACCCTTGATACCTGTGGCATAGCGATGAACAAACTCAGCAGGCTATATGCAGTAAACCCTTGCTTCTGTTAACAAAACCCTTAGCACTGCATCAAGTTCCCACTTCAAGATACTTTGAACTGTACTAACCTTGGAAAAGTGCTGGCCTCCAGTCAGCATGGCCAACATCTCTTTTATTCCTGGTAGACTCAGCATTGCAATACTGAGCAAGCTGCAATCACTTCAGACGTATGTTGTCCTGTTGTGTCTTACGGCAAAGAGGGAGGCAATCCAAATTCACGGTGGCTAATGCTGAAGGACGCCGGGCCCTGCTGGAGGTGTGCAGGTGTTTTGGATGAGCACACTTCCATTTTCCACGCTCCTCTAGCTGCCAGCAATTGGCACCTCTTGGGCCTGATGGCAGAGCTGTCTAATAAATATCTCTCCGTCCACTGACTAGTTCTGCAAAATAATCTAATTACTCTTAGTTACTAGTAGGCAGTGGAATGGGTGGCTGTGGGTACATCAGGACAGGGCAGTGCACCGTGTTTGCATATTGCTTAGTCACCTTAGAGAGGTGCTTTTTGCTTTATTCATTGTAGGATTGTTTTTGCAGTTTTTAACTGGCTTTACAGAACCAGACTAAGTAGGGAGCAGTTGAAAAGGCAGAACAAAGGGGATATTCACCTCTGTCAGGAGGCAGGAGGGGATATGGGAGACAGGTAAAGAGGTGGTGATAAGCAGCTGGGGTATGTAACGTTTCTTCCAGTTTCAGCAGCAGCTGAAACAGTTTCCAGATCACAGACTCCAAAGGGACTTCATGAGCTCTGCAAAATATAGGGATCACTCTCTTCTGAAGCAAAATTTCTGCTTTCCTGCCTTTTACTGCCATCCTGAAATACTTCCACTGCCCTGTACAGGAGATTACTTTATTTCTGCTTTGGGTTAGAGTTACAATATTATGGAGCCTGTGGACACCTCATGCTTTGTCAGTCCTGCCAAATGTCTCCCAGCCATTTTCCACCAAGTACTGCATGACCTTATCACCACATGGCTGAGAAGAGTAGCATTCATTACTTATCATTGTAAGTCATTTTCTTACTATTGCCACCCAGGGAAATCAGCAGTTCCCTTGTAAGAGTCTTGAGGTTTTCCTCAAATTCACCTATTTAAGTAGTCTGTGATAATCCTGCTGTGAAATGACTCTGCATAACTCAATTTTCAGTTTTATTCTTTCCACTTATAAAGGGGCTGAAATAATCCTTCATTTATTTCCTCCAAATTAAACAGTTTAGATACTCTATACTATTAAACTGCAAATACTCACCTGGAGGGCAAGAAAGCCCTTGTTGGTGCTATCATAAAGTGTTACTGGACTTTCTGCATTTGCCTGCAGGTTGCTGTAACTTCAGTCTCTTGCCATTTCTATGGGCTGTGTCATACCACTAATAACTGTTAGCAGTTTGAGGCTATTTCCCACACTAAAAGAGCCCCAGCAACCAGAGTTGGTCTTTCTGTTTGAACCCTTCATCCCTCTTGTGTAGGTATTGCAGTGCAATTCTAATTCACAGGTTGCTTTAGTAGTGGTCTGCAATGAAACTGCTGTTTGCCATGTATAAGATATTTACCCTAAGTCTATAAACATTTTTGATTCCTTCATTTTGCATACAAGTAGTAATTGGTCCCTAATGCATTGTTTAAATGTTCTCCAGATTGGCATTACTCTGTTAACTTCACAGTTCAGCCAGATAAGCTGTATTTGTTTTATTTTCTTTTTTATCCTTTCTACAGCACTTTCTGCAACTCTGTGTTTTCAGGAGTAGATTCTTTATGTAGAAACTTAGCAAATGTGTTGCCTGCTGCTTGGGCAATTTAACTAGTCATCTACTTTAGCTCTTCAGCTTCCATTATCCTTGGTAATGCCTTTTTTTTTTTTTCTCTCCAGACTGATACCTATGTATGTTCTCTGTTGAGGTATTCTGTTTTTGTGACTGAGTTATAAAATATTAGAATTATAATTCTCTCTGTCTCTGAAAGTATTTTTTTCTCCAAATAACAAGACATTTTTGTCTTGTTTTGCCCTTACTGACAGCCATAGGAGAGGTGTTACTGCAGCTTCAAATTCTGAATGCTGTTTAATTTCACTTAGCCCCCAAGCTTGCTCTCTTTTCTACTGTGTTCCCTGGGTAGGATCCTGCTCTGTGCTCCACTGTGGTGGCTTTGCTCTCTCTGCAGCACTGAGGGGCATGTGGAACTAAAGCAGGACAACTGACTTCCAAATAGCTGCATGCTGTTCTCAAACTGCTTACAGGCGTAGCTCTAATGCCTGTGTGTTGCACCCACCATTTTAGGAATCCATTCCAATTATTTTGCAAAACTAATGAGAACTGCTGAGACAGTGTAGGGACAGGCAAGGGTGAGAGAAGACAAGTCAGGTCAGCAGAGAGAGCAGTCCAATACACAGAGAAGGTTCCTGGAAGATATGAGATAGTGGTAGGAGTTATTCGCTCAAGCAAGAGATCTTTGCCCATTCCAGTGATCAAAAATCTACCTTTTGTCATTAGATTTTCTAGGCAGTTAGTCAACTTTTAGTTGATGACTCTTCCCAGCCCGCATCAGGAGTCAGATACATCCACCAGCAGTAAGGATGCCATGCCTGAATGCCTCCTTCAGTATGAGAGTGCCATTGCGATTAAAGGCTGGGTCTCAACTGTGCTGGCTTCTGGTGACAAGAGCATCTGCTCTGGAATGAAGTTAATTTGGAGTCCTC